AATGGCGCCAATAGGAGCGTTGCTATGGGCCATAAGAATAAGGTAAAGAAAATGCATAGATTATGTCGACACCAGAGAAAAGCTAAAATCAAATTATGAGATTTATGCTGTCGGCATATTCATTTAATTTTATGCATATAGCTAAATTTTCTCGGCAATCTGTTCACCGCGGCAAAAGTGACCAGTTTTCTAATGATTATTATTTAAAGCTATTTGATGAAGAAGAAAGTATGGTTGGCCTTTTAAATTGTTTGTTCTACTCGTTTATTTTAAGAAAATTTTCCATTTCTGAGCTAAACGATTGTTCTGAAATTCCATTTGCTGATATCCTTATTGGATAGTGTCTATGGACAAACTATTTGTGTTATTTTGGTTATTCTTACCACATGTAAATTCATTTGATATAGAAGAAGATGCAACAAATTATTTAATAAAATATGATTATACGGCTTGTCCAGCTAGCGGTCTTCTTTTTTCGCTCTTTTTCAAGGAACTATGACAATAAAGTTAGAAAATAATCTAAAATGCAACGAGATGATTAAGTAGATTAAACATTTCTCTACAAAATGAAAAGGGTCTCGGGTCTGAATGTTGATTCCCTATGAAAATACAGCTGTTGTACAAACAGCCGAAAAAATCCATTTTGGAGTTATCTGAAAAACCTGTCTGAGAGAGTGAAGAGGAGCACGCAAAAATTGAACAAAAATAATACTTTGTAGAAAATTGCTTGCTCTACAAGATGTGATAATTGTAATTAATCTGTATTAATCAAAGAAAAATCAGAAACACCGTGACGCCGTGGCAAAAATTGGTCACAGCGTCACGGTTTTTCTGATTTCTTTTTGCTAATACAGATTAATTAGAATAGTTTCGAACTTCAGAAGCTATCACATGTTGTAAAAATTTAGTTTTGCAGTTTGTTGCAAAGCTGCATTCATGTGTTCGAATCTGTATTCGTACAAAATTCCTTTTGTATTTTGATAGTTTTAGTTTAGAATACTAGAATGGAATATTTTGTATTCCGTTTGTATTCTGAAAGAATAAAGCTTATATCAATAAAATAAAAGCTTGCAACTTTTTACAAAAACATATAATATTTATTAAAAAAGCGTCTAACGCTATATTATTTCTTTTTAACCACTAGATCTTTCTGATCACTTCTGGAGCACAAAAATACGACCTGTAGTTTTTGAGAAAAGTTGGCTAGAAAATTGCAATAATCCAAGTCATCTACAGAAAAAAGCCGAGGATGACTACTAGAATGCAGTTATGCACCGCATTCAAAACTGATAACTTTCTTAAAGAAAGTTTACGTTTCTTCAGAGATCATATCGGGAGATTCTTATGATCAAGAGAAAACTTTTGGAAAAATGTTAAGTAATAACTTATTAGACTTCTCTTTTTATGTTGACAATGAGCGCATTTAGTTTGATGTCGATAAGTCTTTTGACGGAGAATCAGAGCAGATATAAGTTAGGGCTATTCTCGCTTATTTTGCAATTGTATCTAAGAAATGTCTCTGACTCGAAACTGTATGATACATTTCAACAGAGCACAACAAACGGTGCGGTTTCTTATGAATCAGAGACGCAGTTTTGAGCGGGAGCACGCTGGCTTATATACCATAACACCACTTTGTGCGAATATCACTAACACAGTCAATATAAATATAATAAACTAAACTTAATCCTCAATTTTTGTTAAACTAGATAGATCATTTAATGGTTTGAACGATGAGAGATCCTCTTCTGTATCATAGAACAAAATCGTAGACAAATGTTTCAATGTACACTATTTGTGAAAATATTCAGAATGACGGTAGTGTTTAATAAATTCTAAAGTTAAAGAAGTGCTGACGTGTTTTTGTCAGTTAGTGACTGTTAGGTTACTTTATAAACACTATAAATAACTATAATTTCCTTTTCGATCTCAAAATATTTCTTTTATTGCAAGATATTATTTAGTCTTTGGTTATAAGTATGCAGATTGTTCCGATAACTGTTTTCGACCAAAAAAATTTCGCTGAAAACTTTCTTTCTAGGTTAATGGTGAGTGTATACTCTTTTTGACAAATGTTTCACCTACGTTTTTCGGAACCAGAGGTTTCCATGATTATTTTTTCACAATTATGATGCGCATGGAATGCAGATGCTATGGTGGAAAGAGCGACCGTTAGTTCCTCACCCTCCCTCTTCTAGGTATGTTTTAATCAAAAGTGCTCATCGAGTCAAAGTATGAAGGTTAATTGTGATAGTTAACCTTCATACTTTGACTGGATAGTCTACAGTCGTCGAAGAGTATTTGCTGTGAGTTTGAAGTCGAAGTGATGTTCCTGGATTGAGTTATGAATTTTTCTTGGAAAGGACCTCATATCTCAGAACTTCATTTCCAGAGACCTCGATCGTAAAATAGTTGTCTTTCAGTAACCATTGACGCTAGATTCATATCCTAAATTTTAGGAGAATAAGGGCTACATTTTGGTAACAAGAAAAAGTTTTCATCTCTCTTGGATCAGGAGTTATAAGCATTTTACGGAAAGGAAGTAAAATGCTTATATCTTACGAATCATCTAGTAAAAGAGGCCCAAGCTTGGTGGGTGATCAGCATTCAGTTGGAGCTATGATCACACAAAATTAGAAGTCAGCTATCATGGTTCTTGAGTTACAGGGGCTTGCTACTTTTGCGGATTAACGTAGCATCATCGAATTTAAAATACAGAACAGAAACCGAAGGTGTCTTCTAATTTTATTCCATTTCAGTGTTCACTTTTGCAATTTGTTTCCTGAATGAAATAATTAATACAGTAACCATGACACAACTTTATCCATAAGTCTATTATCCTTATAGATGCAAAAAAATAAAGATTGCTTTCCGTAGATTCTATAAGCAGTACTGAATATATCTCTTCTTTAACATATTTTGTTCTGAAAGACTGTACTAACAAATCTTGCATTTTATACAAAAATAATGCTCACTGTTGTGTACGACATGCATAAACTTTATTCTTTTCCGAAATACTACCCGATGTTTCAACACTTACAAAAAACAAATTCTGAGTTTCTTTTCATTTTATGACTTTTTTAACTTGTTTGACATTGACCTTCCAGTAAACGTTGTTCTCCATTTAATGGCAAATAAATGATCGCGTCACATTGTATTGTTCGTGCTGCTGTTCCATCTGGTAGAACTGGTGTAGTTTCAAAACGAATTTTATAATTTACGCCAGAAACAACTTGTGTTTCAACTTTAATCACATTTATATTTTTTAATATAAGATTTTGTGCTTCTTCCAATTGACGAGCGGCCCAAATGGTTAACGATATAATTAAATTATCAGTCGTTAAGTCTGGTTGTTCAATAAAACCACCCAATACATTTGGTATTGTTGGTGGAACAAATGGCCAGCCGTGACATACACCAATAGCAACAAATAAAATAGCTGTCAAACAAATGAATTTATTCATTCTTTAGTCTGTTTCTGGATTCCGAAAAATAGTGATTTTAACCACATAAATAAGATATATTTATATACTTTTTGAAAACATCCTTGAAAAATTTTGAATTTTAATTGAAAATAATGACGTTTTATTATTTGTAACATTGAGACTAATCTTGGCTCAAACAGTATTTATATATAATGATTTAATAAAAAGAAAAATGAAATTTGAGTATTTCATTTTTCACTTTCAGAGTTTGTCCATGCACCTTCTTATATGCTTAAAAAAGACAATTAATTTTAGACTGTGCATTAAAAAATATACTTCGTTTGGATGTAAGAAAATCTGAACTATTCAACAAACTTATGCTTAAAGATATGTCAATGACAGCATTTTTCTGAATTTTCAGATGCTAGGCCGCAATGACAATAGAGCACAACGATACCACCATATATCATTAGTCAATAGTTCATGCAGCAGAATGTTTATATCTTGAAGCACGAGAACAGTCTGAAGGATATTTTCTCCTAGAGTGTATTCATATAAATCATAAAATATAAGTTAATGAATGTAGTTATGTATTAAAGCAAATTTTGAAGGCGTACTATTGTTGCAATCTATTATCACGTGTCCTAAAGTCTTTACAGCGTTTTTCTGAGACTTAGATACTGCTTTTTCTGTTTTAACAGAAAAAATCAGACTGCTATGGAAATTAACTCCCTGGTGCTGAATGGTCTAGTGTAAACATTATAACGTGGCCAATTTCTTCCACTATATATCTTTTATTGTTGTGACTATTTCATATCGTTTTCGAAATGTAAAGCTCATGCTATAACGTACAATGTCGTTTATCATTTAGCAGAACTAAACTGATAAACTGAAATTGTTACACATAGTTAAAGATATGAAAAAAGTTGTATTATATGTGATTTTAAATGTAGTTACCTTAGTCGCAAAAAAAACGCATGCTTTTCAGAAATCCTCATGAGAAACTCGTTTCATTAAACTTTTCACGTACTAATCGGGTGGCTGCAAACAGAAGCTTCGTGTATCTGTCTTGCTGAACATCAAAAGCATACTATTTCTGCACAATCTTGTGCATTTATTACCTGAGTTATATGTCTACGGTCGTACAAAAGAAAATGTTATCATCTACTTTTAGGCATGCAATAGTTTCGGTGTACCGATAGACGATATCACAAAAAAAACTTTTATTTGTACATATTCTCGAAAAGATATTTGAAACAGTATGATGAAAACATCTAGGAATGTTCATGCTGGACGATAAAACGTTCACAATTGTATGGTGAACACTTTTCGCATGCAGCACCTTTCGTACAAGTTTAAGAAAAACGTTATTTTTAAAATAGTGAAGTTTTTGAATGCAAAAAGTTATATCTTCAAAAATAACTTTTTCCTATAAATTTTCCTGAATACTGAATGCAAAAGAATGTTCAGCATATAATTATAAACGTTTTTACCTCCAGCATGAACAATCCCAGATGTTTCCTTCAACTTATACGTCTGTATTGGTAGATTGATATAGGTGTCAATCGAAAGACTGCGATACAGAACTTTACAGACTGTGAGAACTTCCGAGCACAAAATCAGAACATTAAGAATATTCAGTACACTGAAAACTTTGAGAACTATCTGAACCAATCGTTGAGAACCTTCAAAACTATTGACCACTATTCAGAACTAATCGCCGAGAACATGAGGAACATTGAGAACTGTTGAGAAGTTTGTGAACTATTTATTAAGAAGTCTGAAAACTTTTAGAGTATAGAGGACGTTGAAAATTTTGAGTTTTATCCGAACGCTAGTGTCGAAATCGCATTTGAAATATTATATAGTAAATTATGTATTTTGCCCTTACATATGAGTTCTTGGGATTCTGCAACAATAAGTTACATTAGCACTAACTTTGATTGCGTGCTCAGTTAACAAACGACAAAAAAGCTATGTTAATCAATTTTACCAAAGAAAATCAACAATATTTATTTTTTCAGTTTAGTGGAAAACCACCCGAGTCCCCTGTCTTATCGCGGCCTGTCTGTCGTGGTGCGAGTCGCTTAAAAAGTTCGCGGAGGATCGCGTAATGCGTTCGCTGTAAGACTTGCCAAATAAGATGCGATTTTTAGCGATCGCTATTTTTTTCGCGCTCATACAAAAACCAATGACTCTCAAATATTTTGCTATAGTTACTATTTATTCGCGTTTTCCGTCTAATATCAGTAAATGACTTACGCTACTTTTACCGCGAACGCAGACGAATGGCGTACGCGTGATGCGACTGCGCAAAACTATATTAGTCATGTCGTAAGCTATTATTAAGGTGTGATAAGATTTTGAAAATTTTTCAAAAAATCGTTATATAGTTCTATGCCAGGCGCGTAAGCAAAACAAAACGGTGAATAGGATTTGCACGGGAGACGCGTCGCGACCCTGTATCATACCGCGATCGTAAGAGAAGAATACGATCGTGACGTGACGAGTTTTTCTTACAGTGAGCGCGCTCGGATCCCGAAGTCGCGAGGTGATCACTAAGAAGTCGCTATTGTCGCGTCGCAATCGCAAATTGTAAGTTTTTTGTAAAACAAGAATTGGTCGCGGACGCGCTGAGTTCTACCGATCGCGAAGCGCGATCCGCGTTCGCGCTGCGAATCAAGCAAGAAAGTGGACTTGGGTACGTTTCGCTGTTGATAAAGATGATCGTGAGACATCTTTTGATAAGTCATGTTTAAATATTAAAACAAATGAATTAGTTCATGGTGATCCGAAAGTTATTTATCCAGCAGTTCACATTCACTAAATTCAGTTTAAGCAGAAGTAGATAAATTTAAAAATAATTGCAAAAAACGGTCAAGAGAAGAAACAACACCCATACGAAACATTCACAAACTAGAATTAGTTTAAACATAATGATGTATCATTTCTATCATCGTCTGGTTTAGTATTTTATTATAAATAAAACAAGGTTTATTTTTTTAGCTTACGAGGGAACCTCCGGAGGTAATAAACCGCTTTCTGATCGACATCTAGTAAGTTATAGGTTATCCACCATGCTGATTCCGAATATGACCATGGGACTTCCTCATAGCCCTTCGAAGATCCCGTCTTCTGGAAGACCAGTTTTTCAGAAACCCCAAAAAATAATCCGAACCTTTCTTAACAATGCAGAATTGTAGAGCGCAAATTTCTGATTAAAATGAAACATCTCCCAGCTCTACACGATCTTTCTTTGCAAAGTTATAGAATTTATAAGAACAGCCTTAAATTAATTATTTCTGTGGCTTTGAGCTGACAATGAATAATTTAGGGCTCTTCTTACAAATTCTATAACTTTGCAAAGAAAGGTCGTATAGAGCTGGGGGTGTTTCATTTTAATCAGAAATTAGCGCGCTACAATTCCACATTGTTAAGAAAAGTTTGGAAGAACTGGTTTTCCAGAAGACTGGATCTTCGAAGGGCTATGGGGAAGCCCCATGGTCATATTCGAAATCAGCATGGTCGATAACCTATAACTCACTAGATGTCGATCAAAAAGCGATTTATCACCTCGGGAGGTTCCCTCGTTAGTGAGTTTTTCCGCAGATTTAAAACAAAATTAACAAGCACGATAATTAAACACATTCTGAATGTCATTTAATGAAATTTCAATATGCATTTCACTACATTTCCTGTCAAACTTTATTTGCTTTTATTCAGACCTACACACATCTCATCTAAAAGCTACCGTCGATTAATCCCACTTTTGAGCAAGTATTTATAAATAGCATCGAAACCCCGGGGAAGGGGGACGGGCAGTATTGTGAGTGTGCGTCACAGACCAACATTTCGTATGCATCAACAGCTCCAATTTAGACAAATTCGTGGCAATACTTAAAGGTACCCCGCCCCTTCCCTCTTTTTTGACCCTTGTGAAAGCAGGGAAGCCGATGTTTGATCGGGGTGAGGGTGCACTTTATGTCTTAAACAAAAAGTGGATTAATAACTTCAGATCAATATGCGGAAGTCTTACGAGAAAAAACAGAAAGCATCTAAAAGAAACAATGGTTATTCTGGATTAGATGCACAAACGACTTCGTCTGTCTCTTCACGAATGATATGTTTTACGTTTCACATTGCGAAAGCGCAAAAATTAACATTACACAAACATTCAATATAAAAACTTTCTATATTTCAAACGTGTCCAGAATGAAACATCTGGACGCATTCAGACACGCTTTCTACCTTTCTAGAAAAAACACATTTGAAGGCGTTTTTCAAACACAAATAGTCTCATCGGATGTATCCATGAAAAGGGGGAAAGAAAGATAAGAATACGGTTGAACTAAATGCTGATAATTGTGGATGGAATAACTGTTTCTTCCATTGTCTAGTGTTAGATAAATTAACTGTTATGATGTGCGTTATTCTAGCGACATCATGCGAACCGTTCGCATGGATGCGCTGCTGTCTGAGACACACAACTATGGCGCTACTTTTAATGCGAAGGAGTCATATTTCACACAAAACCAGTAGCAGAAATACAGTCTTTCTACTGTCATATACGCATCTCTCAACGTCTTTTCCTTTTCGAATAAAGGTTTATCTTTGAAATTTCAGTGGTTCTTTCGGTTGCCAATAACAAGAGAATAAATGATTCACCTGTTCAGACGTTGAAGAGCAAAAACTACCTATCATACAAGATATGCCCATGAGCATCTTTTCGGTTCCAGAAGAGGGGCGTGGCGTCTAAAGGGTGTTTTCTCACTGAACAAGCTTCTAAATCGCGCTTCTCTTATCCAAAACCGCGGTTAAACAATGCAATTTTTTCTGGTGTTTGAATTTTTAATCGCGATTTCATTACTAAGAATCGCGTTTTTATTATTTAACTGCCATCAACTACGTGCATTGTTTAACCGCGGTTGTCCAATAGTCATAAACAAAATACGGTTTGCGCTCGAAGTCGAGATTAATTGAGGCTCAAGAAGACACCCGATGTATTGCGTAAGTAAAAGGAAATGCGGCTTCTCTATTCTTCGTTCTGTAGCTTAACAGCAGTGCATCGAAAATTTGTGAAGGACGTGTTTATTCGCGATCTAAACAAAAGCGCGTGTTTTCCACGATGAAAAGTCCGATTCTCTAATAATCGCGGTTCTCTGCATGGGAAACTGCATTTCCAGTCACGAAAAACGCATTTTTACGGGGGTTGATCGATTAACCGGGGCACTAAATTAGTCATATACGATATCATTAAAAATGCATAATTTTCTAATGACTCATTTAGTACTGCAGTTAATCGATCAGCCACGCAAAAATGTGTTTTTCGTGGTAAGAAACGCAGTTTCACATGTCATACACGAGGGAACACGGTTTTCTCAGACACCCGGTTACAGTCTGCAACAGCGTTTTCTATTATGTAAAATGAGGTTGTAGACCCGCCTCCTTCCCTGTAGTACAACATAAACTGTCTAGAATAATTGGTTTTGAAGCATTTTTGACCCTTCACCAGGCTACGCGGTTTTCGAGATTCTTTTCGTGATTATCAACAGTACTCAAGTCACGCATTTTGAGTTCTAGTACGTCTAGGGCGCATACGACGGGTACTGTTAATATTCTCAGTGCTTAAATTTGAAGAGAAAACGAAAACTATTTGAAAGAAGTGGAATTTGAGCGAGATAATATATATAAAAAGGTATCAGTTTTTTTTTAATAATGTTTTTGAAGGTTTTTTCTACTTCAAATATACAATCAGTTGAACTCGTTAAGGATTATGTATAATTTGTTCGAAATAACCGTGAACACATGATTTATCAACTGTTCAATGACAAGATACTCTATATATAGATACTTTTTTTGAAAGTTTGATTTAGATTAGATCTGTTTTATTGAAAAATATATGTGTTAGTTAAGTGTAGTTAAATTACTTGTGCCTTTAAATTTCTTACACATTCTTCGTAGATTACTATGAAGAAAACGATTTATCATCCTATGTAATATGAATGGAATTGAAAATTGATCTTTTACACAGGTAAGGAGAAGAAATATATGTCTGATAGTTACTAGTAACTGGAAAATTAGTTGCTTAGTAACGGTAAACTCGTTAGTTACCGTTTACAAGAGTAACGATAACTTGATAGTTACCTGTTACTTTTATAATTAACAATTTTTTCATTACCATTCCATTACTTTGTAACTAAAACTAACAGTAACTCTGACATTCCTAATATAGATTGATGAGTCATTCTTTTGTTATTATTTTCTTCTTTTCAAGAAGAAGAAAAGAACAGTAGGAATTCTTAAAAGCAAAATATAATTTTTTTTTTCTCTTAGAGTGAGCAATAGGGTGGAAAATTCATTTTTCAAAGTGGAAACTCACGTTGCTCTCGCTTGTTCCACTAATCACTAAAAATAGCGCTTCTTATACGTGTAAGAAGTCATTTCTAATATGTCGTCATACTGTTCTTTATCTTTGACAGAGGAAAGAAACCGTCTTATATAGATATTCCTCATTCCCATACGCTGTAATACAAGTCAGAGGATAATTCAGTGCGCCGTTCTGGTTATAACTTTTGAAAAAGTTGACTGACTATCTGTAGGAACTAGAGAGGAAGTTTTATCGCTTTTAGATTTTTAATGGAGCAGTCGTCCTGGCAGCAAATGCATTCAATCAATAACAGAAGAAAACGTAGACTTGATGAAGACAATGATACTGTAAAAAGATTTAAACAAGAAGGTATATAGAGCATTTTTTAATAAATTCTTTTCTTTAGTATTATTTTTATATAATTTTAGATTATCATATTGTCACTACCTACGAAGATCTATGTAATGATGTTCAAATGGAAATTTTTGATTATATTGATGTCTATTATTTATATAAATCTTATAGAAATTTAAATATACGTTTTGATCAATTATTAAGTGATCGTCATCTTCGTCTACATTTAAATACAAGAAATATACCAAATCAACAACTTTATTCTTATTGTATGGAACAACTTTTTAATATATCAGATCGTCTTGTATCATTAAAATTACAAGCTAAAAGTGCTGAACCAACATTTCAATTTGATGATCGATATGAATTATCTGTATTTTTAACGAGTTGTTGTCCTAGACGATTTTATCGATTAGAATCATTAATAATAACACAATGTGAATTTTCAATTGATCAATTAGTTAGTTTAATACTTGATTTAAAATGTTTATCAAAACTTACTATACTATGTATTTATGAAGTTAAATTCATTGGATATAATATAAGTGATATACCAAGAATGATTTTATTTGAAAATTATCTACCACAATTAAAAACTTTTATATTTCCCGGTGTTTATCGTTCAGACGTAAGTAATTATACATTTTATACAATAAATAATAATCTTGAAAATTTATCAGTTCGTTGTTTACCTGAAGAATTATTTGTACTCTTTAAATATTCACCAAAACTAATATACTTAAATGTTACCATTTATGGTCCATGCCAATATTTTGCAAGATTCTTCACAATACCTGTTCTACCATTGTTAAAACATTTGAAAATGCGTCTTAGCGGTGTATCACATAATGAACTCTTTATGCTATTAAAAGCAATGCCAAATTTAAAAATATTAGAATTAAATGGCTATGCTGATGATAAAAAACTATTTCATGGTGAAGAATTAATAAAACTATCATCAATATTACCATTATTAATGAGATTTCTAATCGATATAGAAAGTATAAGACCGTTAAAAATTGATGCCGAGCAAATATTAGTCACATTTACTCCAGATCATTGGTATCAAGATGTTGAATGTGTAGAGCATGACAACTATGTTACACTATCAGCTACAATGAAGAAAGCGGATATTTTTGTGTAATTTGACTTGTTTGTCTGATGCTTTTTATGAAAGCGAGAATCTGACTATATTTTGTTGACATCTAATGATCTAATTCTCCGCTTTATGAAATGATAGTCAATCAAGAACTCAAAAAATCTAATGTGCGTCTTTCAGTATTCTAAAAGTGGAAGAAACTTACGTAATGAATCATATGCAAACAGTTAAGGAAATTTTATCTAATAAACAACTAATGTTCACTTACTGAAATTTTTTAAATCTATTACACATGCGCAACTATCAGTATAGTTAATTATTACACACATCAATATAAATAGTTTTCACACGTCATTTAGAGACTGTTGGGATATGACAAAATCATTTTTTGAAGATTTTTGAACTCTTTTAGTCCTAGTGAATAACAGCAATCATCCAGATATCTTTTTTCCCTGTTCCCATAATAATCAGTTTTTTACTTTTATTTAATTTTTTTCATGATTTTCAACGTTGATTAATATTCAATTTGATTATATCAGAATGAATCTGATCTCATTTAATAGTTAGATTATTATGAACTTAAAAATAAGTTATAATTGTACGTAGTTATCTCATCAGATCGATGAGTGTTAAAGTCGCTAACTTATCAGAATGTAGTGAATTATACTGCATGTATGTTGTTACGTGTATCAACGCGCGACACTATCACAGCTACTCATATAATTAACTTGTGTCCAGGGTAGAGATGGACACCGGGACCAAAAAGTATTTCTGGTCCTGGTAAAAGATTTGTGTGCCATTCCATTAACTTTGTGGTAAACTATTATTTGACCACGCATTTTGTACAGAAATGTTTTTTCTTTCAGTCTGTATAGTTTAAAGTATATCACAGGCGTTCGTTATCAATTAATTTGGCAAATATAATGACCAGAACCAAATCAGTCCCGGCACGGTAACCGGAATCTCGCCAAACAAGACTTTCCCCAATAAGACATTCGTCAATGGCGAAAGTACATTGGGTGTATTAGCGAAAGTACAGTGGACACGAAATAATACTAACATAGGATACATGTGAGGAGTGAAGCTAGTGTTGTTAGAATATATATACCATAGTTTACACATAGGATATATTCGCATAGGAGCGAGTCATGTTTTTAAAGCGAGATTAATATGAAGAAAAAGACATAAAGCGTAACCTAGTGTTGTTCATCTGACGATGCACCTGTTGAATCTGATTTTGAAACATTAATCTTGTTTTCCTTTACTTTTCTTCTATGACAAACAGGTTCGCCAACAAGATGAGCAAGAGACTTGATTGTATTAGCTAATGATCTTGTTTTTGACGTTAACAAATGCAACAGTTTTTCAATTTGTTTAGTTTTACGAGCTGCTTTGATCGTCGACTTTTTTGGTTGAACAGAAGAAAAACCTAATCCAGTCTGAACCATTCTAGGAGATGAAGAATGAACGCGCAGAAGATCACGTTGAAGATCACGCGCACACACATGTGATTTTTCTAATCCACGTCTAATTCACAGCCAAAATGGCGAAAGTACATTGGACGTTTGCCATTGGCGAGATTCCGGAATCCCTCCCGGCAATGTGTTCCCCATCATCGTATTTGCCAAATTAATTGATAACGAAGGCCTGTGATATACTTTAAACTATATAGGCTGAAAGAGCAAACATTTCTGTACAAAATGCGTGGTCAAATAATAGTTTACCACAAAGTTAATGGAATGGCACACAAATCTTTTACCAGAACTAGAAACACTTTTTGGTCCCGGTGTCCATCCCTAGTGATGACAGTAATGACGATAACAAAGCCTTCCTGGGGTCCAGGGAGGGTTTCTTGTCGCCGTCACTGTCATGTTATACTAATCGTTTGTTTTTCTCAAAAAATCTATCATGAGTTTTGGAATCTGTATAGTTGGAAAGTGGGATCAAGGGAACAGTCATCATGCACTTAGAATTCGTAGTGCAACCTCTACTACATTTATTGTTGATTCATACAAAATAAAACTGTTGTCAAATTACTATGCTTGTTGCGTTGTAACATCTGTATTGATATGTGGTCTGATGACATGAAGCAAACGAGAAGTCAATCAAAAGCGGATGTACTTAACAAGTGACCCTCATTTTGAGCCAGGCTTAACAAAAAGATCCATGTCTTGTTTTCTTTAAGAGAACTGGCGGTATTCTTAAATACCGCCAGTTTTCTTAAAATAAACGAGACATGGGAAGATATACACTAGGCAAATAATCGTCAAGCAAATGTTGGGCGTAATGCATTCTGTATTGATTAATTAATTACAATACACATGTAGTGAAATAGAGATGTGCAACCCGACCCGTACCCGACCCGAAGGTTGGGTACGGGTACGAAGTTGTCGGGTACGGGTCGGGTACGGGTAGAGCAGTTACGGGTACGGGTTCTATTTTTTTTTAACTTACCCGAAAACCGGAAGGTTCGAGTGGAAAACTCTCAAAATTTTAGTGAAAAAATACAGGAATCCAGCTAACATACATTAAGGTTTAAAAAAGAATTACTTGAGAACGTAATGATAATTTGACATGTTCAGCCGAAAAACAAAAGTTTTTAGCTGGAAAACAAAAAGGAGAAATCTTTTAGGTATAAGTCGATTACGGGTCGGGTACGGGTACACAGTTCTCGGGTCGGGTCGGGTACGTGTACAAAGTTGTCGGGTACGGGTGGAAAAAAAAATTTCGGGTCGGGTACGGGTACGAAAATGGTATCCGTGCACATCTCTATAGTGAAATATACCGTGTAAGTAAGTTAACTCATTTATTATGCTAATTTGCTTTGAGTTAACTGGTAAGAAAAAATACAACTCACTACATTGGACAAATTCAAAGTTTTTGTATTGAATTGATTCGCTTTCTTTCAGGGATCATCATTATTTATCTATCAATAAATTAAGAATATAAATATTAGGCGTATGAATATTTTCACCTCAGTTCACTGAAAATCAGCATTAATCAGGTGTGATATAAAATAATTAAAGTTTCGACGGGTTCATTCAGGCATTGCAATAGCTAATAGGAGGTTATAAACGTCCTACGCCATTATTGATAATCTTCACATATGCGAGGATAGATATCTATACGCATCTACTTACTTTTGATTCTTTGATCGCAATAACAAAGGAAGAGAGCTCTTTTCTCATTGATAAAATTGTTTGTGTTAGTACTAAACATAATATCGATTACCGATGGTCTTAGCTACTACGATAATGTTTCAGGTATTTATCTTACAAAATATATAAATATATAAAAAAAAGACTCGGCTATAGACTAATATTCTATTCACCATTGAAATTTGTTATCTGTATTGATTCTCTTGAAAAACAACATTCATCAACAACTGTTGCTCATTCTGAGTTTGTTGGTTCTGATAATGCAATAACGCGACAAATATTCAAACTCGTGGTTTAATATTGGAGAAACGTTATCAAAAGATATTTGTCTTTACGACAATATATAAGGATAAAAATAATTGTATCGATAATAAAGGACATCATTTTCTTCGATTTAAAACCAACACTGATCTCCCACAACAATATTTCAATTTGTCCGTTGATCTTTTTAATTCAAAATCAAAATCGTTAAGTCTTCACAACAGTTTCCACATCAACAATTCACATGGTGTTATTCAAAAACGAGTGGTGACTATAAGATTCAGTATCAGAAAGCAAAAATACGAAAATATGTTATTACTCAACTGTACGCACATTAGTACGGTACAACAATCGGGCAATGGACGTGTACTGACGGTAATTCAAGCATGACAGTTACAGGTAACTATTTTTGTATAAAACAAAAATAAAATAAATGTTCAATCGTGTTCGTAACAAAATAGATGTACAGATCAAATAACAACGACGCAATATCTTCTTCAGTATAGACAATGACCGTTAAATATTCAAGATTTACACGGTGCTTCATCAACAGAAGAACAATGGTTGAACGATGTTTATTGGTTCAGAAAAGAAGAATGTCATAAGTGAACAAATCAGTTTCTGGGTGGAAATAAGCCAATGAATACGGGCTTATAGAAACAGGTAATAATGTAATAAAACTAATAAACGCGTCCAAAACCTTGCTCAGTATATTCCATTCACAGGTAAAAAGATCAAAAATAGGTATTATGATGGGAGTGGTACTGAATCAGATGGTTTCGATTGCTAAATACATAGATTTTAACTGCCAGACGATAGATAAATGTTCGGAAAATATCCAAAAACGTCTACTGTAAACTTATGTCGAATATTTTTATTTAATACCGTCGGTTACCCTGATATAATCTAAAATCGCTCGGCATATGGATGGTATTCTCTACATATAAGTGCGAAGAATACCGCCCGATACACCATTTCAAATGTAATCAGTTTTGGTTTTGATGATTAGAAGAGCACATAAGAACAACAAAAAAATAATCTCACTTTTTTCTCATTGATTCTATAGATATAGGATAAAGCTTGGTACAGAAAAATAGGCAATGAAAAATTGTACAAAGTGGTATATGACTCACCCTTATTAGGCAGTTGAGCATAAAGGAAAAAAGTTTTTTTTCAGCAACTGGTATCCGTAGCCCCTCCTCACATTAGTTTCAAAAACATGAAACTATTTTCTAACAAAGAAACAGTTTTGCTTCAACCACGTTATTGTGATGTGATTTTGCATTAAACTGATGAAATTTTAACTTTTGGTTGAAATAATATTCTTGTTATTGTCTTCATTTGCTGATACTGATATCAATGCTACATGTGAGAAAAAATATCACAATAAGAGTTCAACTTCACTCACAATGAAACGGTTTGTACTGTCAAGCCGCTTTCAAGTTCGGAGCATGTGTATTAGATAGACCCTGGTGAGGTATAAAAAAACCCAGAAGGCTATGTACTGATGAGTCTTTCCTCCAGAGTTACAGTCATTATACTGGAATTTTAGCCTATTGCATGATATCTACCAAAAACACTAATCACGATATTTCGACCTGAAGTTTTGCCCGCACGTAGGCCTACTTGTAACTAGAATGTTCTGCAAATTTCAGTTCAAAAGAATGTTCCCTTCTTGAGATATTGAATTTCCAAAATCACTCATGTTCTACGAAAAGATTGAAGAATGTCAGGTTTTTGGGAAACTCAATATCTTACGAAGGGAACATTCTTTTGAACTGAAATTTGCAGAACATTCTAGTTACAAGTAGGCCTACGTGCGGGCAAAACTTCAGGTCGAAATATCGTGATTAGTGTTTTTGGTAGATACCATGCAATAGGCTAAAATTCCAGTATAATGACTGTAACTCTGGGGGAAAGACCCATCAGTACATAGCCTTTTGGGTTTTTTTATATCTCACCAGGGTCTATCTAATACACATGCTCCGAACTTGAAAGCGGCTTGACAGTACAAACCGTTCCATTGTCAGTAAAGCTAATTGTGTTCACATGCTGAAATCTTTAGGATTACGTAGAACAAATATTAAAATCACAGAAACACAACTCTGAAAGCACAGTAGACTTTTAACTACGAATGACATTCATTTAATGTAATCATACAGATTTCAACATAAGAGAAAAACTAGCTTTAATTAGCGACGCTTGCAATCTTTTGCGACATTTGATCGTATTATATTTTGAACACCTTTGATCAATCGTTTCAACTCACTGATCACAACTGTTCACAATAATAAACATCATAAATATTATAAGATAAATTAATAGATTTTTTTCATATCTTTTATATTCCGATTCTTTCGGTATTTCGCCGCCATTAGTTTACAGAAAGAACAAATGTCAATCATTTTAGCAGTACATGCCCTATTGTTTACATAACAAGTTTTTAAGCAAAAGCAGTACTAAGTTCCAGTTAACTGACACTTGAGCGACTCTGATATTAATCGATCCCTACGCAAACAAACACGTATATTCTGCCGTTTCTATTAACTTATTCACCTATGATCGCAATTGTTCAAAATGAATTTGTATATCCGAAATAATCTCGTAGCTATGACATTTTGATAAACTAAGTTTCATCTCATGACGTTTCAGATTATTGAAACATTGTTTTCTTTTCACTTACTTTCACTGTCATCATGATAAGTGCAGAATCTATTCGATTTTGTTGATCTTAAGAAAGTTAAGACTGAAAAGCGTTACACGCTGCTTTACGCTACGTTTTACATGTCATAAAATGCCATCAGTGTTTATATCGCAAAATATCTGTCGAGCCATATAATGCAAGAGCATGAAACTTTACTAAAGTATACATTTAGAGTCTCTTATTAGTTTTCGGAAGTTTCACTTCTGCAAACAAGTTGATTTTTCAAAGTCTTTCATACTATGGGTGACACCAGTTTATCCATCTATGGCTAAATAAATAGCTTTGAAACTGCATAACATGCTCTGTTGTTTTGCCTTGTCATTAAGTGTGTTTGTATTAGTTTCTGACGAATTGTGTATCTTGTCATTGTTTCTTATCTACCTGTGATATTGCACAATAATAACGAAAGTTTCTAAAGTTTATTTATAAGAGTTTTTTCTGTTAATATTTTCTATTCACATTCCATTACACAAAACAATGAATTTAGTGTATCTTCCAAATATTGGTTTCAAACTTGACTCATCAAATGAGATCATTTTTAAATGGGGTAATGAACGAGAAGAAATTAGACATTTATTAAATAATTCTCATATAGCAGATGATGATGAAGATTATGGACAAAAACGAGATATTTATCAAAATGCAGGAGAATTAATGTTGTTAAATTATGATGATTCAAATTATTTGAATGAACTTGAAATACATAAAGGAGTTGACATAAACATCAATGGTATTATATTAAAATTTGGAGATGATGTAAATAATATTCTGAAAAGACTTCAGTCGTATGATAAATATAAAATATTAGACGATGATGGTACATTTTTATTGCCATCAATGAAAATGGCGATTGGAAACGGGGCATCAATGGGTGGCGAAGACGATAATAACAGTCTAGAATATTTTTATGCATCGGCAAATATCGATCATTTGATGGAAATTTAGCCATAACTACTTGTTTAGTAAAATTAGTTTTTTCTTTTGATAATTAAACAGAACTATTATGAAGCGAAACAGTGACGTAAATAAATTCAATGTTCTCGTTAAATCAATTTTAGCCCATCCCACAAATGCATTCTTTTTTAATCATCCAATAATTTTATGTTATTATGGTGTGCGCAGAGGCTGCAGGAAAATGATCAGGATAACGTTAACTAGTTTTCAGAATCTTTGCAAAATACTTTTTCTTTATTATTACCTGTGATCCCGGACACTGATACCTGAGCAAACTCTAGTTGCTGAGTAAAATGTTAACATTGCTTTTAGTTCAGATTAACATCACAGCGTTGACAATGTCAAACATACGGTATCTGACTGCCGGAAAGAAGAAATATTTCAAAATAATTGACGAGGGAATCGATTTAACTGTCAGATCGTTTTTTCAATGAGACTTAGCGGTTTATAGTTTATCGACTATGCTGATTCCGAATACGACCATGGCAGTTGCCTACAGGTCTCCAGAGGCTGGTTTTCTGGAAAAGCAGTTTTCAGAAACTCTAAAAAATAACTAAAGCCTTTCTTAATAAGGCATAATTATAGTCCACGCATTTCTCATCAAAATGAGACATCTTTCAGCTCTACACGACCTTTCTTTGCAAAGTTAGAGAATTTACAAGAAAAGCCCTACACTTATTTCTTAAACTATAAGCCGTATAAGATAAACTATAAACCGCTAGGTCTCATTGAAAAAAGGATTTGACAGTTAAATCGGTTCCCTCATGAGTTCTTATTTTAATCAATATAAAATTTTGTTGGTTTCTTTGAAATGAGGATGGAGACAGAGGCGACGGAAGGCTGGGTAAGGCTTAAGCCTTACCCGGATTTGGCTCTGTTAGGCTGAGCCTTATCCTGTTTTGATGTAGAATTTTAAATTTAGCACTATGCTATTTGGATAAAACTTTGCTACATTGGCAGCAACGTCTTATTTCTCTGAAGAAAAGGCGAAAACAACTTTTGCTGCGCGAATTAAACTCTGCTGTTTTTCAGTGATCTTAAACGCAGAGACTAACACGAGGTATGTGCGATGACCACAGACGACTGGATTGGTATAAAATGCGAACTTTTGACATCAGGAACGCTAAGAAACCTCGAAATGTAAATTATCTTTTGTTCAACATAGCGAAGTAGTCCTTTAGTTATATAGATATGCCACGTTTTCCAAACAAATATGTTTTGCTGTGATTAGTGTAGCGCAAACTTCTTCCCTTTTTTGGCCTTTTTGCTGCGAACATCACTTATTCGGAGTCTGAGTAGAAGCAGCTTGGATTCTTGCAGCTCGAGCTGACATTTTATTTCGGTGAATTGAGCTCAAAAAAATATTTCCGTGTGCTTGCTCTTGCTACGAAAACTTTTACGGAAAATTGTACCTTTTCGAAAAACTTTCTAAATTCGCTGCCGTGAGTCTTACCCCGTTTGGGAACGTTCCGCCGCCTCTGGATGGAGAAATAGGTTTTGCATGTTCGCTCGATAGATGCACTGTTATCTTGACCTACACTATGTTTTTTCTTTAAATGTTATCTCCATTAATAGTATTTATTCAAAGTTTATTAGTAATATTTTGAATATCCGCATTCAAACAGGGTTAGATTATTATTTTGAATATTCGGTACTAGTTTCAGCTAGCCGCACCAGTCGCTTTAATTAACTCCTTTCGATTTAAGGCCCCCAGTCTAGGTCAGAAACCTATCTCAGTCAAGGTAGGTCTGATCTGAGTCAAACTTTCAGAGAATGTCGACCATGTCAAAGTGTGGTAACGAAATTCTTTTTGGTGCCATTTGCAATTATTCGTGAGAGGGTGGCACAACAAGACTTCCACCACGGACGGGAATTCTCATACCAGGCAAATGATAGAGAGCTCGGGTTTCTTTTGTTCTGCAGTAAACACCTAATTTACTACAAAATTAGACATAAAGTGAATGAAACCTCGTTTAGGTGGAAATATTGCTATTTTCCTTTTTTATCACAAAGTTGTCGATTTTTCAAGTTCAAAATCCTTTTCTCTTTCAGCTAACGTTCAAACCAGTTCATTCGTACGTAAGTTCAACGAAGCATGTTGACTAAGCAATAAGCTCTTGGAGTCTTACTGCATTAAATGTGGGATCACCAAGGGTTAACTAATTAACTCTCGTTTCTCTTCTTTTGAATGTTATTCAAAATACATTCTCTTATACTTTGAAATGAATACTATTATCGACACCAAATTATAAGGCCGGTAGTTGTTTTTTGGATAATTCAAAGACGATAGAGATTTGAAGTTTTCAGCAATCGAAAGAAGACAGTTTTGCCTATGTTTTCATAAGCAAAATCCTTTTCGAAAAATATGAGTTGATTAATTGAATAGGTGGAATCATATTAGAATAGAAAGTAATTTATGTGGAGTTTAATAAAAGCTATACAAATCAACAGAAAATAGTATGAGTTTAGAAAAAGTTTTCTAGAAATCTTCGAACTGCAAGGATATGTTTTACTATTCTTAAGTAAAAAATCATATTAAGGACGTAAAATAGAGTACATCGTGATAGTCTGACATAATTTGAATGGATTTTGACTGAGTTATGAATTTTATAATTTTACTCAAAAATAGGTAAAGATGGGTTATTTGACCTAATATAGATTTCCACTAGGTTTTCGGAACTTTTTGAAAAGTAAATGCTGCCACGAGATTCAGTGTGATTGATTATCTATATTTCCATTCGTTTTCGGAGTAACCACACCGAAAGAAATATTGATCAGGAACCCCGATGCCACATCTGAACCAGGAAAAATTAAGAGTACGCTTAGTTCTCATTTTGGAGAATACACTTTGGGCTATATACTTATGAAAAAATTCCGATAGATTGCTATCTCTGTATCCGAAGGTTCAAACAGATTTTCTAAAGATCTCCTAAAAAAACGATCTTCCTAATATTTTTCGAAAGGATTTTGGTTATAAAAACATAGACTATTATGTAAGGAGATCCTCTTACATAAGCAACCAAGTCAGATATATAAGGTGCTACATTGCATCATCTCGTTTCATCATGCATTGCATCGTTATCTTAATTTGTCAGATTTTTCTAATCTTCTATCGTGATTTCAGGACTATAAATAGGCTTCCGTGCTAGCTAAGAGTGAGATTGTAAGATTATTGTTTCTTATTCTAAATCATTATTATTATTGTTTCTTTATCTCAATATTTTCTAAATAAACATTTAAAATCATATCAAATTCGGTGATATAAATCAAGTAATCTCTGGTAGCAAAGCCTTACAACTATTGTGAATAGAGCCACATAACTCAGGCAAAACTGTCTTCTTTCGATTACTGAAAACTTCAAATCTCTATCTTTTATCGTCTTTGAATTATTCAACAAACAACTACCGGCCTTATAGTTTGGCGCCGATAATAGTATCCATTTCAAAGTATAAGAGAATGTATTTTGAATAACATTCAAAAGAAGAGAAACGAGAGTTAATTAGTAGCACTATTTTTGATGTGCCCGTATATTATCAGGGGCGCCACCCTCTACTTTCAGGAAAAGCTTTCGTTTCCGCCAATGTCGGGCACAGATTCCACCGCATTTTGTATGAAACTTCCTATCTGCCGATGTGTATGTATATTTTAAGAGGCATCTAAATGGAAAAAGGAGGTTTGAACTTATCGTAGAACAAACTGATGCCTGAAAATCTCATTCACTATGAGGACTGGCTCTACAGATGGAGACATGTTATGAATTTTCGAACGTAGGATTATCCACATAAAATTTTCATTAGTTCTATTATCTCTCTAGGGTTTAACACTAGGGATGTTAATTTAGTTTTATTGTTCATTTATAATAATGGATAAATATAAATTTGTCATTTATATTTAAAAATAATAAAGATAAATAAATGAGAAAAGATTTATTTTTAAAAATCTTTAAAATAAATATAAATAGATCATTTATTTTTAAGAAAAAGGTAAAATACAGAAATAAAGATTTTATTTTATGAAATATATGCAGTAAATGTGGAATATTCTAAGATCACAGAATTTGTTATTAGTCAGAAGAAGTACTTTATTAAGAAGATGTTTCTGATTGAAAACATCTGAACTGTAGGCATAATTCCACAAAATAAAGAAATAAAGATGAAATAAATGGTTGGTATTCTCCTTCTGCGACTATGGTTTTTTTCTTGGAACTCCCTGCGCTTCAATCTTCTCCTTTCGAGCTAGGTTAGTTTTAGTCGATCTGGATAATTTATCATGAGTTAAAACGACTTATTCGAACAACTGAAGAGAAATAATCAACTTATGATTTGAGGTGAGAGTGAGGGTGTCAACGATGACATACGAAGATTTTCCTGCTTGGTAATTCACTTAAAAACGGTAAAAATAAAATCTTTATTTCTTTATTTTACCTCTGTTTTGTTGAAGATGAAAGTAAAACTCATTTATCTTTATTTTATAAATATAAATGATGAGTTTATATTTATTTTTTAAAATTACACTAAATTAACATCCCTAGTTCATATTATGTCTCATTCTGTAAATTTACTTTTTCTACCACTTCAACTCAATATTGTCTATAGTTTTCTGTTTCTTATGCTATTTTCTCTGCTCTACTCCGATAAATCATGACTTTTGTCCTCACTTTCTCGGAAAAAAGTGAGAGAAAAATAGCCGTGATTAAGTACCTGGCATACATGCTAATGTCATATATTGCTCATTAGATGACGTGGACAAAAAAACGGTTTTAATGAAGTAAGAATAATGATGTATCGCATAAATAGAGAGAGTACATGTTCATGTAATAGTCACGTACACTTTTTCCACTTGAGAAAGAAAAAGAATCCCTTGTCAGGTGTTCTATTCGCTCAGAGACGACATAATTATGGTTTTCTACGACAGCAACGGTATTGTACTGTCAACGATTACTGCACACGCGTTACTTATCGCGGCTAACATTTTTTTGCTTGTATATTTATTTTTTATAAGGATTGCACGATGCAAGAAAGCAAATTTCAGGCCGTTCTTAATCCACTTATTGCCAAATTCCTTTGAAAATATTCTCACATCGAACATTACAATAAGAGGGACCACACAGTCTCTTGAAAAAAGATTTAAATTTGGCAATAAACTGGCCGATGTGAGCATGGAACATATATTTATAGAGATATATACTGTTGCTATACCTATTCAATGGTATTTATTATTAGTCATATTTGCCTTTACAGTACTCACAACTGAAGTTAGCACTGAAACTTGTTCAACATTTATGAATAGTACATTTTATAATCAGTCAAATGTCCACGCCTGCTGGTTACAGCAAGAGGGGTCGGTTAATATTCATCAATGGTCAAATCAGCGTACATTTAATGATTGTTTATCCTGTTCAGATCCACTAGAGAAAAAGGTCACCTGTGTGAAGTATGTATTCAGACTAATGAATATAATCGCCGCTATAACCAATATGCTGACATGGCATGGACTAACCACATGGATAACGATAAAACTTATTTGGTTCACTGAAGCATGGCAAAGAAAAGTGAGAAATACTCAATGGTGGACGCGATTGAGTAATCAAAAACGTAAATTGACTCTGTCAATAGCGTTTTATTTACACTCAACTTTACACTTCAGTTACGGATGTGTATATTCAGCTATGACACTTTTCCTGGCTATAGAACACGATAGACTAATAGACAAAACGTTCACTGTTATGATCGTATTCACTTTGTATTATCTCACCCTTATCACATGGATACAAGTCCGTTTTATTCGCGATTGGAAAAAAGTTTACGATCAATATCCGATTGTCAGCCCGAATAACGAAAATAGAAATATTCAATCCTTCAAAAGTGTCATGATTATTCGGGAAGAAAGCGAGCAAAAACTAATAAAATGTTTTAATTTCTTTAAATAAAAAGCTTAAAATTATTAATAGAAGAAACTGATATTTAAAATATAGACAAAATTACAAATCTCAATTTTGACTGGTAATCAACAGTGTTTTGCCAAAGTCTTAATTTTACCTAGAACACCTGTTGTGTATTATATAGAACGTTGATTAGGTTTTAATAAATGTATAAAGCGAGTGGAGAATGCAGAAAACTATGATGGACAGTTGAACAACACAGATCATTTTCCATCAAACTATTGAATCACTTACTTACATATATATTTTCAGTTCAATATCAGCGCGTTATAGCATAGTTCACATAATAATAATAGAAGAGAAAATTCTTCTCTAGTATTGTAATCATACTGTGTCTTATGCTTTATATCTACCCTATTCTGAGTAGGATTTTAAAGAAAAGAAGATTTAAAGAAGACGGACTATGATATTGGCGAGGAAACCTATAGGCATGCAGCCTTCCGCTTTCATTCAGTCATACGTCGATCGATAGAGGATATTGGAGTTGTAAAAAGCTAAAAAGGATTCGAGCCGATGGGTTTTGCTGCAAAGCTTATAGGTATTTTTCTGTTTTTTCCAGCGAAAAATAGAAAAATTCATATATCCGTCCAGAAAAGTAGTTAAGAACTCAAAATTCTTTCTATGGTTCTTCTATATATCTGTAATATTCATACAAAGTTCCATCTTTACAACCAGATATGTGCGCCGACAAAAAATTTTTGGCGGCGGCGAATGAAATTTTTTACATAAGCGGCGGCGGCGGCGCGAGGCTATGAAAATTTTCTCCACTTTCGGCGGCGGCGTGTAAAAATTGGTTATCAGCGGCAAATCCCCAGTTTTAAGTAAAACAACGTTCTCTTTCATTTGTGGCACGATCTTCGTGCACCAATTGTATCTGTACGTTGTTGTATACGAAAAGATAAAAAAGCGCGGCACGCTAGATACCTAAGCGAAGAACGTACTGACAAAAGTAGTAAGAGAATACGCTTTAGGTAAAGCCAAAGTAAATGGTACACCCTGTGCTGCAAACAAACAAAGAAACAATGTATTCTTTTCACATTTCAATATGAAATATTAATACATAGAATATTCTATTCACCGCTCGATTATCATTTGGAAGAAAAAAAACGAATAAAAAGTTCGACAAAACAAAATATCAAATAGCAGCTAGCACTGTCTAATGAGCACTTTTGAATAAACCATAGTTATCTTGGATGAACTGCATCTTTCCCACTTTGTCACTACTCAATCGTACACGTTTAGCCGTCGGTATAAGTCCTGTTGTAGAGAAAATTTCTCAAGGGGGAAAAAGCGGAATGGGACGGAATGGCCCATTCCGTCCCATTCCATACCATTCCACACCATTCCATACCATTCCATACCACTCCATACCATTCCACACCATTCCATACCATTCCATACCACTCCATACCATTCCATACCACTCCATACCATACCATTTTTTACAGTTTTTTCCATTCTCCTTTTTTAAGAGACTTATAGAATGCGCCGGAATGGGCCACATTGGCGCCGAGTGAGAACTTCTATTCCCTTGACTGTAAAGGAAAGCGTCTTATCAAGTTAAAACGCCTGTATGTATGTTTGTAGGTATGTATGTCCACAGAGCGACAACCAAAATTGCTCTATGTTTGTAGTTTC